ACGAATCATACCACAGTGATGTATGTGCACCCATGTTCATAGCAGCACAGTTTGTAATAGCTAAAACTTGGAAACAACCCAAATGCCCATCAACTAGAGACTGGATAAAGAAAATGTGGTTTTTTAAAAATAAAATGGAGTACTACACAGCCATAAAAAATGAGAAACTAGAGACATTTTTAGCTAAATGGATGCACATTGAGGTGATACTCTTAAGTGAAATAGATAGGACACACTTGTGTAAATACCAAATAGTTTCTCTAGTGTGAGAAACTGAAAGTGTAAATAAGGACTAAAAGGTGTAATAGATAATGTAAAATAGGAAGAAAATGGGCAAAGTGGAAGGGGAAAGAAGGGAATGGAATTAATATGAGAAAATGAAAAACGGAAACAAAGTATTTGAAAATATGGCGGGATAGAGGGATTGCATGGAGCGCAGGGGAATGGGGAAAATATAAGAACCAAGAGAGATTATGTAAAGGTGCAAAATTCCAATGATGAATGTCTTTGTATTACATACCTAAAATGTACCAATAAAATTAATTTTAAAAAAAGAAAATATAAGGTGATTTAGAGAGCAAAAAAGAGGAAGCAAGCAAGAAAGGGAACATCCTGCCTGCATGTTTATTTGTCTCCTCCATTGAATCACTGTTCTTTCAAGTGTGACTCCATCTTCAGGGTTGCAGCTATAAAGCAGACGGAACTCACATCCTGAAGCACTGGTGCAAGGTTCAGGCCAAGACAGCTGTTCACCTGGAGTGTTGTGTAGAACTATCAGCACCTGAAGGGTCATCACAAGAATTGGGATAGATGGATAGTATGGGGATTAATGTGTGCTCACAAATTCCCAGTACATTTGTGAAAAACCTGGTCTTGAAGGACTTTATCCTGATAAAAGAGTATATTTGTTGTTAAATATTTGACATCTGAGTCCTTTAAGGTCATATCCTGGGAGATTGCACCACTAGGTACTATGAAGACCAAAACTGTGTTTTAATTTCTTTCTGTCTTACTAAACTCTTCCCTGAGGCTGAATCCAGGATGTGGGCAGTTGCCCTTCAGGACAATGGGATTCTCCTACATGAAGATGAAACCCAGGAAAAAACTCAGGTTGGGGGTGGGGGGGTCATCGAGGGAGCTTGGTCTGTGGAGTGGCTTGAGGGTAGAGCTCAGTTCCATTTTCCTCCCACATCTCTGTGATCTGCAGATATCGTGGACTTAGTAGGCTAGGGGAACAGAAGACAAGTAGGGATACCAGGGGAGGAAGAAATGTTGCCCAAGCTTTGGGAGACATGAGAGAGCTAGGCTCACCAAATAGCTGCCACCATTATCGAGGACACCTCTGAGGATGTTGAAGGCCACTGGAAGAGCCCTGGTAACATTCTTCTATTTTGACCTCTTATTATACTTGACTTAACTGACCAAACACATTCTTGGGCCTTTCCCTTCCTTGGTGTATGTGATGTGAATGCTCTTGTTTCTGCCCCTTTCACCCTGAGTGACTTTCATCAGCCTCATGTGTAGGCTCCTGGTTTGGTATCTCTCCATTCACAAATCAGCCATGGTTATAGAAACCTGGGCCTTGGAACCCCTGATTTCCTTCTCTCCTTACCTTTTTTGAGGTGTACTTCCATTTTTTTGGTTTAAGTCCCATGTGGTGTAAGGAAGACACAGCTGGAACAAGTTTTTGTTTACTTGTCGAGTGCTTACTATATACCTAGAAGCTTGCTATGTACCCAGGAGCCCAGTGCACTACCTGTGGGGCCTCAGTTTGTCCCCAGTATAACCCTGGAAGGGGCCACATCATTATTCTTTGCTCTTTTGTACATGCTGTTCCTTTTGTCTGACATTCTTTTTTCTTCCTCATTCACCTTCCAACTTCTACTCCTTTTCAAAACCATTCTATTCAACAACCTGTGGTTCTCCACGAATTCCCCAAGCCCTATTAATCCCTTTGTCTGAATTCCATGATGCCAGCATCATCTTTCCATTAGGTCATTTACCACTATAGATTACACAGCACCCCACCCTGAAAAGTTTTCTTTAGGGTACTGGAGGATGAGATGAGGTCTTTTCTGTCTTGTTTTCCTACTATCTGTCACAGTGCCTGACACATAGGTAAATGCTTAAGAAAAATTCACTTATCATACAATAGCCAGCCTTTGTTAGTTGGTGTGCGATTTCAGGCAGTTCTCAAAATAACCTTATGAGGTTATTATTCCATGAGAAGTGTTATTCCATTATTCCTTGAGAAGCGTGAGGTTTAGAGAAGTTAAATAAATTGCCCAAGAACCACAATGGGAGAACTGAGACAAGACCCAATGTGGATGAAATTAAGAGTTCACAATGCTGCATGGCCACTCTCTATGATGTCCCCTAAAGTTGTCACCCAGACTGCAATCGGAGAAGAGCACTTAACACTCCCCAATGCTGAATAAAGCATGAGTGAATTTAGAAATAAAAGGACAGAGAAGAAAATGAATGAATCCACTCTAAATCTTTAATAATCTCCAGCCTTTACTTCTGCTTCTGCACTCTCCTCCTATCTCCCCTTTATTCTCACACCTACCCCTTCAGTTCATCCCTCCCTTGTCTCATGCTGACTGCCTGAAACACCTGCCCAGCAAGTCTCTCAGCCCACAGCCTCTTTTCTCCTCTCCCCCTTCTCGCCCACACACAACTTCTCAAAATCAATTCTCAACCCTGTTGTTGAAGACACACTCAAGAATTGAGTTAGGCTCCTGACTCACTGTTAAGGAAAATCTAAGCATGCAAGGTAAAGTCAAAGGATCATCCTTTACAAAAGTAATTTTCCTAAATACATCCATTGTTTTAAACCAAGAAATATTTTTTATGGCTCCTGGCTCACAATTGGTCTATGTTGCCTCCAAATCTCACCTGAGTCATTCTTCTGTGTTTTGAACACTTATCATATAACAAGAATTGAGCTACATTCTAGGAATACAGAGATTAAAGCTAAGTATCTGAAGCTCATATATTAGTGAGAAACGGTTGAAAGAACAATTTTGAGGCAATGTAATTGTGGCAAATGATTCAGGAGCAAGCCTAGATTTCTCTGGGAACATGTAGGATGTGCATCTCTCACATCTCCAATACTCTCACCCATCAGCTCCCTCCATGACTGGCTTAAATCACCTCTCCTAGCAGGACTTTTTATGCCTAACCCTTCATCTGCTCTCTTGAAGGTCTTTTCATTATTTATGCAATAGACTGTTCTACATTTATCTGTACTTATTGACCCATTCATCTACAAAATACTGTTTCTTGGTCGCACAGAACACGCCGAATCAGCCCGCTGCAGACAGGCAGGTCTATGCACACCCTACCGAGGTCCCGAGTCGTGCAGAAGATGCCAAATCACCCCGCAGCAGACAGACAGCCACCTGGTTCCACACTACAAAGACGCAGAGGACACCAGACCACCAGACCACGGTACTGAGTCCCGCTGCTCCTGGTCCAGAGGAAGGGGCTTCCCAGTCACCATCCCTCCCGCTGCTCCCAGCCCAGAGGAAAGGGCTTTTGGGCCACCTTCTGTCCC